AGAGTGGCGCTGTCGTGTGTGTCTGCGTGGGGTGCGGGGACGTGTGCAGGCCGAGCGGGGACGTGCAGTGTGTGTCTGCGTGGGGTGCGGGGGCGTGTGCAGGCCGAGCGGGGACGTGCAGTGTGTGTCTGCGTGGGGTGTGGGGGCGTGTGCAGGCCGAGCGGGGACGTGCAGTGGCTCACGGTCTGGCTCTCCCCGCTCAGCGTTAGGCGCTCTGCTTGGCGTGGAGCAGTAGGGCCTCACTGTGTCTCATGCCGAGTAACCCCATGGTAGGTATGTGCTTCAGCGCTGTCACCCCGGTCGTCCGTGCGTGGACACCGGGGGTCTCGTGTCGTAGCCACTGCGGCTGATGCTGCGGTAAACACGGCCTGCCCGCGTCTCTCCCACCGCGTGTCCCGTCCAGGTAGACTCCAGGTTCGCTGGCTCACCGGGAGCTCTGTTCTGAACCTCAGGTTCTGAGGACCCGTCTGTTCTCCACGGACATCCCCTGGTGCAGGACGAGTGCCGCGTGTTTCCGATTCTCAGCGCGACGCCGTCCTACCTGACCCGTGTGCTCACTCCGGCTCTCCCTCGCTCTGTCCCTCAGGTCGACAACACTGACGCGGAGGGCCGCCTCATCCTGGCCGACGCACTGTGCTACGCACACACCTTCAACCCGAAGGTCATCGTCAACGCCGCCACCCTGACAGGTCAGACCGTCTGCCCTCTGGCCTCAGGCCGCTGTGCCACATGGTGCGCTCGTGTCTGCCGTTGCTCTGCCGACGTTTGGCTCACGGCATTCAGAGACCTTTACCAGAGGACTCGCCTGCAGTTTTAAACCCTTTGCACACTAGGCTTGTTGTTTAAGAACGTCCTGGGCTTGGAGCCAGGTGGTGACCCAGCAATGGGGCCCCTGAACCCACGGGTAGTGACCTGGCCTCAGCGGTCTTGTCTGTGCAGGCGTGTGCACACGCTTGGGTCCAGGAGAGCCCCATGGGGCAGCCTGTCTCTGGGACCCGGGCGGTTCTCTGCCTCACGGAGCTGGGAGGTTGGAGGGAGTCGGGGAGGCCCTTTACTGCAGCGCGGTAGGTGGGGCGGGCGTGACAGCACCAGCTGGCGTGGGAGTGGGCCCGTTCCTGGAGGGGACGTCCAGTACCGCACACCTGACACTCGTGGTCTGCCCTCCACAGCCCTGTCCAGGGCCTCGTCTGTCAGCCTCTTCTAGGATCTGCCTCACGGAGCTGGGAGGTTGGAGGGAGTCGGGGAGGCCCTTTACTGCAGCGCGGTAGGTGGGGCGGGCGTGACAGCACCAGCTGGCGTGGGAGTGGGCCCGTTCCTGGAGGGGACGTCCAGTACCGCACACCTGACACTCGTGGTCTGCCCTCCACAGCCCTGTCCAGGGCCTCGTCTGTCAGCCTCTTCTAGGATTGAGACGCAGACCCCTTTCCATCCTCCCGTCTCACTCTT